GGAGTGTGGCATGGTGCAGACCACAGCTCTCCAGGAGCTCAGCCGCAGCTTTTTACCTGAGGGAAGGACAGACTGTCTGCGGCTCAGGGCAGCAGGATGCAAATTCTCCCTGTCTATCCCTGGCCCGGGGCCCAGAAGTCTGGTGGTCTGGGTGGAGGGAGAAGGTGCATGGCGGCAGTGGGAAGAGCCCTTCCCCAGGACTTAAGAAGATTGGTCAGCTCTTAGCTGCAGACCTTTGGTCAATCCTGTCTCTCACTGTTCTGGGCTTCAGTTTTCTTGTTTGCCCCCAGGAGATGTGGCAGCTGTCCTGCCCACCTAATATGGTGGGCAAGGCTCCAGTGAAGGGCAGGGCAGACTGGTGGCCCTGCCTGCTTGGGGTTGGGACAGGGAAGACATTTGGCCTGGAGACTGTCATTTGTGGGCACTGTCTCTTCAGGTGCTGGAGAGGTGGCCGTCTCTTCAGGTGCTGGAGGAAGTTGATGAACRTGGGGGTGTGAGAATGTTCAGATCCATATGTGTGTGCGGGGAGCTGGGCACAGTGACAGGTGGTGAAAGGAAGGAAGGCAGAGGTGAGCCCCTCTCTCAAGGAATTTCTGCTTCGTGGTGGAAGAAAGGCTGACAGGTGCGGAATGGGATTTAGTGGCAAGGCAAAAAAGATAGAGGCAAGGTGCCTGAGGAGGCCCAACAGAATGTTGTGAGAGGGGACACAGTGACRGGACACTAACAGGAGAGGGCAGCGCCAGGCTTGGCCGAGAGGGAACAAAGTTCGGCCCAGGGGTTATTGTGGATATTCACGAGGAAGTGACAGGTGTGCTCAGGGCAGGCAGGGCCTTCCAGGACTGGGCGAGGGAGAAGTGGTGTGCCCGGGTCAGCAGGCAGGTCTGTAGTTGGGGGAGGTTGTGGGTAGCTTGACAGGAATAAAAAGCAGGGGTGTTCTGGCAACGTGTGGTGCCTGTGAAGGCTGCTTGCGGGGTCCCTCAACGGCTTCTGTTGTTCCTCTGGAATCTACAAAACTCTATCTAGAAGCCAAGTCTGAGGCTGCTTCTTGGAAAACATGTAGGGGGACCATGAAAATCAGAGGAGCCCAGAGGCCAGAGCTGGGACTTTGGGTGTGAGGAGGATGGAGAGCAAGGACAGGAAGCAGAGGTGGAAGTCTAGTATAGGGAGGCCTGAGGGAACACTAACCTAAGCTGAGAGGCAGAGTGTGGCCTTTGGGACAATGACAGTGCAAGGCAGCCTTCAGGCCCCATTGGCTTCAGGGTCCCCTGCCCTTCCCCCATTTGCTTAAGCTGCTTGGATGTCTACCTTGCTCTTTGTGAGTGCCAGCTCCCCACGGGCTCCACCATGGTGACACACATGTCCAAGAAAGTAGGGACAGGTGGTTCCCTTGTCTACTACCAGCACCCGGCACCACCATGTAGGACCTAGGTGGTGGGAAATGTGGGCCATGGAAGGAGGGGGAGGGGCATGACCACGGGCTTCCTCAACCAGAGGCAGGGTAGCTGGACCCCTGCTGGGCCCTTGCCATGGTCCTGGTGGCCCACTTGCTAGGAAGCCTCATGGGAGGCAAAGGTTGAGTTGGCTAGGGGAGTCAGACCTTGTCCACTCTCTGCATATGTGTGGCAGCCCAGCGTTGAGAAGAGCCCGGGAGGGAGTGAGCACACCAGTCCTGGGTCATTGAGCCTCGGAACAGCTACTTCAGCCCCTCATCCTGATGAGGTAGAAATCAAGATCCAGGGATGCAAGGTGGCTTGTCCAAGGTCACACCATGGATGTTTGAATGTCAAAATGTCCTCAGTTGCTGACCACATGTCTTGTCCTGAGTTACAGGACAAACAGGAATCCTTTGGAGATCTCACCTCCTTGGTCTTGAGCAATGCCACCCTGTCACCTAGATAGATGGTCCCGACAGGTTCAATTAGAATAATCTTGAGCTCTCTTCTCACCCTCAGCCTGTCATTTACACGTGAGTCCCAGGGAAGGCAGGGGTCTGACTAGGACTAGAACGTGATTCTAGACTGGCTCTCTACCATGTTTTTTTCAGTGAGCTGAACACTGTACCACATAGAGAACCTTTAGGTTACTTCAGTTTCGAAACCGCTTTGCCAAAGTTTCTTATAACCTCTCAGCTAACCATCTATGTTGATGCCCCTATCCAGCTTCCACAGCTTGACCTTTCCCCTTCAGTCTCTGGAAGCCATCCCTGATGCTCCCCTCCCTTCACAGCTCCATTCCCATGGAGAGAAAGCTAGACCAAGGCAGGTCCCGGGGCCTGTATTCATTGGCAGGGCCCCATGTCCTGGCCTCTCCAGTGCTGGTCCAGACTGGGGCTGCACAGGTCCCCAAGCACTGCCCAGGTGCCCAGGCCCTCTGCACTGTGATGTTGAGCAAGGACTGCTGCTTCTGCTTTTGCCATCTCTCCCACTGCCTCACATCCCTCTACCTCTGGTGGCCCCCTGTCCCCTCTCTCTCATCACTCAGTTTGGTTATCTCTAGAGTGACATTCCTGGGTGGCTTCTCCTGTTAACATCTCCAAAGGCTTTCCTTGGTCTACCTGCCAATGCTACAGGTTCTCTGCAGGGCCGTCAAGAATCTCTACAATCTTCCCATTTCCTTCCCATTTTCTCACATTTAAAATAAAAATCTTTGCATCTCTGGTTTCCCCAGCCTGGAGCTCCCTGCTCCTTTACTCAAGGATGTGATTCTCTTTCTGTGAGGTCTAGCCCTTGTCCCACTTGGAGCCTCAGGGCCACAGACATCTGTTGCTCCTCTGCAAATGATCACCTCATTTTCTAGGGAGGAAATTGAGGCCCAGAGAGGGTCATTGATTTACCCCAAAGTCACATCATTAGCTAGAGAGTGGAAGAGATATTTCGTCACCCTGCAGTGAAACACCTTTTCCCCCTGCCTGCTGAAGAGGCATGCTGTCCTGGAGAACAGAGGGACCTAGGAAGGGAAAGGACCTAAGCCCACTCGGTGATCTCCTGTGCCCTCAGGGTCATATCTGAGCACTTTAATAACTGAGCTGCTCCGTATTGTTATTTAATCAGTTCCAAGTAAGCTGCTTGAGGGCAGGGAAAATGCCCTGAGCCTGGGGATTAGGTTTTCTCAGAAGCTCCCAGCACAGGGCTAGGCACCTGGAAGGCTGTCCTAGGGCAAGACTGGTACCTTGGCTGCAGCTTCCATCTGGGAAGGTCATTTTCTTGCTTTCATTTCTGGCAGCAAATAAAGCAGCACAGGATCCCAAGGGATTGCACCCAGATGTAAGTTTTCATGTGAATGGAAGGTGTGTCGTGTGTGTGTGTGTGTGTGTGTGTGTGTGTGTGTGTGTGTGTGTACACGCGCGCATACATGTGCACAGGAACGGTGGTTTGGGCGAAAGTCCACAGGGATTGATAAAGGGTCTTAGGACTGATGGATACCCAGACTCTTGGCCTTGCCACCTGTGACCCAGGATGACAGGTGGCCTTTGCTGGGCCCTCTCATCACTGTGTTTTTTGGAGGTTGGCAGCCATCAGATCAGGAGCCCCAGCTTGGCAAAGGTGGGCAGTGTCTTGGGCATACACAGCCTCGCTTTGTTCCTGGCCCCTGTCACTGTTCCTCCTGGTATCATCTAATCCTCTCTCTTCCCCTCTCCATTCTGCCCTTTGAAGGAAGCACCCAGGAGAGGCTCTCAGACAGGTCTGAGCATCTCCATGCAGGGCTTCTGCATTGGGACATGGCGTCTAACGGGGAGTGTCTGAGACACTGCCTCACTCTAGGAGAATCCCCTGGGGGGTGGGAACATCCTAGGCAAAGGTGCTAATTCTTGGCCCCTGGAAGTCACAGTGCCTGAGCTGGTGGAAAGGACTTCCTGACATCTTTGGTGAGATTGATTCCCAGGATGCTGGAGAAATTTATCTTGGCCTGGAAAAGATGCAGTTTATCTTCCTTCTCTGTATTCAAACTTCAAAGTTTGTCTTTGCTAAAGCCATTTAAAGAGATTTGCAGGTTGGCAAGGTGTAAGGGCACCTGGAGAGGGTTCATGGGTGGAAAGGTCCCCTGGGAGGCCTCTGATTGGTGGCCCCTGGTCGGCATACGTCTGAGCCAGTGCTCTTCTGGACTCCACATTTCCCTTCTCCGGGGCCTCGGGCATCCGGGTTGTGACAGTATCTGCACCAGCTTCTCAGTGGGTGGATGTTGGTCAGGGTCACTGGGTGAGAGGAATTGGATGATGACATCCACCCTCCCACTCACTTTCCTGACAGCCTAGGAGATGTGCTCTTTGTACCCTCTAATGTCACTTGTGCCTTCCACACAGCCCTCCCTGTCCTAAAACTGGGAGGTGTTAGAGTGCATAGGGATTACTTTATTTCCTATGCCCCCAAGAGAAATCTAGGACTATGGGGGGCGTAGCTCACACAGTCACCTGAGTCACCTGCAGTGGGTTGCTGTGGCGAGCTCCACAGCTCCTCCTGCTTCCTGGCCCTGGTGGCTGGAGGACTGAGGCCAAGCAGGTTGGGTTAGTCTTTAGGAGGTTCGGGAAATGGGTCCTGTCCAGTGTCTGAGGAGAGCTGTTCAGAGAAGCTGGTGGAGGGGGCGTGGCTGAGGAAGTCTTTGCCCTAGCACCCAGATGGCAGGGCAGACCAACCAATTAGCCACCAATGAAGATAGACYGGCAGGGTGGCATTCCAGGGCCCTCTTGCACAGATCAGCCTCAATTATAGGGTACAATTACCTGCTGAGGTGTTGTGGGGTATTTGCCTGCACATGCCACACAAAGTTTCGGGGGTGCTTCTTGGTCTTTGGGACTTACTTTTGGGAGAAGACCATATCTGAGGTCAATGTCTCCTTTAAGGCCCCTCATTCCCGTTCACTCCCAAAGAACACCACTTTTTGACCCCAGTCTCCTGGGCTCATGGGTGGGGGGTCAAGGTCCCGATAGCCCCACAAATGCATGAAGGTGCAGTTTTACCCACGAGTCCACCCTGGCTGTAGTGGAAAGAAGGCCAAAGCCTTACCTCGAGATTTGCTTTCCTTGGGAAGAAGAGAGATGACCTCGTCCCTTTCCTGAAGATAGACTAACAACTGGTAGCGATGGAAGCCACTATTTGCTGGTGGGGAAGGAGGCTTGTAGGCTGCAGGTGGAGAAAGGGAGAGACGAGTGGACTCACATCTCTGCTACCCAGGGGAGAGCTCCTGCTTCCAGAGGCTGCTGGCTACTCGAGAAAACCACCCCCTGTGTCTTTCCATGGCCCTGCTGACCTTCCTGGGGCCCCAGATGAAGGCTGACCTGCTGCCTGCCATTATGTTTGGCAGGACCTCCCCTTGGGTATTTTCACTTCAGATGTCCACGTTGGGGTCTGGGGTGGTGGAGGAAAGAAGGTGGTCCTGGAGGAAATGCTCCAGGTTGGAATGAAGGTCTGGGGTGCTGCTGTGGCTTCCAGGGCTCACTGGGCCAGTGGGTGCTGGTGTTGTCCTGTTTTTGCTCTAGTCTATTCGGATAGATTTCCTGCCTCGAGAGAAACCCATCTTCCCCCGCGAGTGTGTTTGGCAGCGAGTTTTTATTTATTTTTTTCAGCATTTCCTTACGAACTCAATCCCCAAAGAAGCCAGTTTCTTGGCTGGGTCTGGAGGACCTGGAAGTGGTTACGGGGGTGGGTGGGACTGGGTTCAAAGGTTTGATCATAGGCGCTGGGGCACCGGGGGAAGGTCCGGCTCCCTCCTCTTCACTCTCCCTCTGGGAGACGCCGGCCTTTTTGGGTGTGGGGGGAAAGTGGGGTGGAGATGTCTCTTATCCTTCCCTTGAGTCTATGCAGGGACCTGGTTTTTGCTGGCCTGGACTGAAACTTCTAAACTGGGCCTCCTTCCAAGAATGCTGTGCCCCCTCCCACTCCCCTCCCCTCTCTCCACCTCCCTCTCCAAGGAGGAGAGTCAGGCGGGAGCCAAGAATCTTCCTGGGGTGGGTGGGGAAGGAGTGTTTGCAGTGAGGATGCTGGTGGGAGGGAGTGGGGGTACTTAGGGCCATCCCCCAACTTTCCTCTCCTGACCGTTAAACAAAAGAGTGACTGGCTGCTTGGCGCTGTTGGAAGGATTTCTCATTGTGTACTTCCGGCCACTGGGGCCTTCAGTGTGCCAACAGCCAGGGGAATTCCTGACTGTTCATCTTTCCCATCGCAAATCAGATGTGTGTTTGTGTGTGTATGTGTGTGTGCGCGCACGCGCACACACACACACACACACACACACACACACTCAGAGAGAACAGAGCAGGGTGTGCCAGGAGCTCTGTGAGTTTGTGGTTTAGGGTCTGTAGTGGGGCAGGTGTGAGTATGGGAACAGCCCGTGTGCCAGAGCTCGGAGGCTGTGGCAGAGGGTGTGTGTGCATTTGGGTAAATCAGCCTTTCTTCACAATCACCGCCAGTGCTGGGGAAGATTTCTGAGCATGGGGTGCTCAATATCTCTTTGTGTGAATGAGTTTGTGGAGGGCAGGTGGGATGTGACAACTTCTGGCCAGGCTGGTGGACATGGGGGTTGCTAGGTACCCTTGAGACGGGCATATTCCATGCTGCCAAAGCCAGATGACCAGGATTCTGTGTGGACAAGTCTGAAGTTGGAAGCCACTGGTGCTATGTCTTTAGGGTAGATGGAGAAGACCCCTCTCACTAGGGCTTTTCTAAAGAATCCTCCACTCAGAACCTCCGGAAGTACAAACTGGGGTGGGGGACACAAATGCTGGGGTGCATAACCTTCACTTATGGCATCTGCATCCTCCCCCACCTCTGCAGGTGGGTATGATCTCCATTTTCTGGAAGAGGAACTGGAGGCTGAGAGGTCAAGCCAGGYCACCAGGAGCTGGGATTTGAATCTAGACCTATGTGGGGCCTAAGCCCATGCTGCTTCACAGACCAGGAAGACTTTGTCCTCGGCCAGCTCACCACCTGAGCATCCCCTGTAAATGGAGTTCAGGGCACACCTTGGGAGTGGAGACCCGAGGAAGGGGCCTGGGGCGCTGGGAGAAAGGGAGGGCAGGTCCTACTCCTATTTTATTCTCTTTAAAACAGCAAACTTGTGAGACACTTGTGCAGATGACATCAGGGTGGACAGGGACCTTTGGGGTTGGTGTTTGCACTTTGCAAAGCAGCACCAGGAAGCTGTGTTACTATGACTGTCATCGAGACCCTGGCTGGGGGAGGGAGCACTGATGGTTTTACTCACGTGTTAGCACCTGGCCCTGAATATTCCCTTTCTTTAAGTCATTGCCCTGAAACGAGAGACAAACAGAGCCACGGTTACTTCTGGGGCAGCGTAGGCCAGCGCCACCGTGCTTTAGTCCCCGGGGTCTGCGAAGCAAGATGGAAGAGGAGGTGCATGGCTGCTCCTGGGGGATGGGCTATGGGGCTTTAGAAGGAGTCCCCAAGGGGCCTGGGAAGAGAAGAAACAAGGTGTCTGAGGGTAGTCTGGAGGTGAAGGACAGACAGCCCTCCCCAAAGGGCTGCCTCATGATCACTGTACCCTGAGATTGGGCCCAGCACTTGATTGTCAACCTGTAGATCTGGGCGCCTAATTGTTCTCAGGGACTTGCTAACCAGCCCGTCCTCTCAGGAGGGAGAATTTGGCTGACTTTGGAGACTTTCAGCAAGTTAGGCATCCTAAGCAACCAGAGGGAGGGGCTGGACGGCCTTGCTGGAGGAAGCTCATTCAGTCACAAGGTCTGGGCAGTTTTTTGGCCTCAGTTTCCCTCCTTCTCTTCCCCCTTCCCTCCACTCCAGTGTCTGTGGGATAATGAGGTGCTCCTGGGGGCGGGCGCTAATTACTGTTTGTGCAGGACTGGGAGATGCTCAGATGAAAGGGACTGGAGCCGGGCCCCTGGGTCTGTGCCACGGTTCAGGACCCCGGGCCATGCCAGGGAGCCCTGCGGCCCCTAGGTGTGGAGTTTTATAGCCTTAATGATGGTGATTAGCATGGTGCTTAATTGATTCTGCCAACACCTAACTGTGCCCTGGCCCCCTTTCCACCCAGCCCTTCCTGGGACGGCTCTTGCCCCTTGCCTCCAGCAGATGCTCATGGGAGTGCGGGAGAATAGGGGAGGGCTAGGAGGCCCCACCTGGGTAGTGGGGGGGGGGAGTTGGTGGTGGGAGTGAGATCCCACCCTGGGTGCCCACTGGCCCCTTCCAGAACCTACCTGACCTGCCTTTAGGCCGCAGCTCATTCATGACTGTCTTCACTTTGGAGTTTCCTTGCCAGTATCCCTCTCCCAGTTTGGGTCTAAGTCACTTTTGGTAGGAAGAAGGAGCAGGACACCCACCCCCTGCACCCAAGAGCCCACCACACTTGGTTTTCTGCCCCCTGTGCAGGTGAGTCTCTTCTTTCCATCCTTCTGGCCTCCCTAGAGGGACAGTGAGCACCCAGGCAGTCTTCACCTTCAGCCCCACCCATACAGTGGCATGCTCCAGCCGTACCTGGCTGGCACTTCCTCTGCAGTCTCTTGATTCCCCCAGTTTGGGCTCTGAAATCGTCCAGGCCCAGATATGGCCAGGGACGGAGAGTAAGGGGTGGAAGCACTCCGAGAGGAGGTCAGGACCCCGTAGGGGCCTAGCAGCCACTCTTCCCACCCTAGCAATATCGAGAGAACCAGAGCAGGGGCTGGGGGTGGGGTGGGTGGTGCTGGCCCAGGGAAGCCGGCCCAGCCCACAGCTCTGTTCTGCAGCCTCCTCCTCAGTCTCTCCCAGTCATCCTGGGCCAGGCCAGCGGTTTGTTTAAACCAAACAATGGCAACCCAGGCTGCCTGTTTCTTTTCAATTCCCCACAGGCTTGGGTCCCACCCAGAGTGATAAACAGGCCTCTCTCCTCCGGAGGGAGGTGGTGCGGGTGGGAGCTGGGGCCTGTAGGTCAGTGAGCCTTGTCCCCAGGGCTGGGCCAGTGTGGAAAGTCTGATTTGCAGCCTTGCTCAGGGCGGGAGGCATCCCCCCACCCTTTCACCCTGGGAGTGTCCTCTCATCTACGGGGGCCAGCTTGGCAAAGACTGTATGTAAACTCTGGGGCGGGGTCACTGAGGCGAGCCACTGGCCCTTCCTGCCTGCCTTCCCTTCCTAGCTGCCCCACTGCCCCTGTTCTCTGCTGGGGCACAGAGGGTCTCAAGCTCATCTTATAGACAGACACTGGCTCTTGCTGGCAGAAAGAGCAGGCATGGACCCTGTGGTAGAGAGCTTCCACACAGTGAGTGGCTAGAGCAACTGTGATCTTCTTGGGTAAATTGATTGGCCAAGTTCCCTTCACTGGTCAGTCCTGAGAGGCTGAAAATTCGGCCATAGAACCCAAACCTGGCAGGGGCCTTAGGAAACGGTATTCTGAAAGGTGAGAAAGTTGGGGTACAGAGAAGTCAAAATAATTGTCCTGAGCCATTTGAGTAGTGAATGGAAAACCTCAGAATGTTCGGGGAGGAAGGGGCCACAGACTCTGAGGCCAGCTGTCTCCAGGGCCTGGGCCTTTTGGTCCACAGTGCTGTCCTGTGTTTAATCCATGAAGTCCCAACAAGCCCACCACTGTTCTGGGAGACATGATTTTTAGAAGACCTTTATTGGTGGTGCAAGGAGTGGACGTAGCTCAATGTAGAATGTGAGCTCAGCAGGCATGAGKTCCTGGGTCCAATCCCCAGCACCCAAAACATAAAAAATAACAGAAAATAAAACTCTTACAAAAACATCCAGACATAGTCTGGGTGGCTGGGGCTGAATGGAAATGCCCACTCCCCCATCCTATATCAGCTCTCCTTAAATTCTTTAGAAAATCATGTCTAGCCTTTGATCACCTTAGAAAGCTGGAACTCTCCAGGGATGGGTGAGATTCAGTTGCAGGAGGTGAGCAGGGAAGTCATAGTTGGCAGCACTGCTCAGGAGCAGAGCCAGGGAGTGCCCTGYAGGGGATGGGGTGGGAGCCAGGGTTGGAGGAGTGCAGGCACCACAGAGATGGGCTTTGGAAGGAGAATCCTCAGGAGGCTAGAGACTGCTGAGAGCCCCCTACACTTTGGGCCTCCTCCCCTCTACCTGCTACCTCCACCTGCCCCCTGCCTGGTCTCCAGGTGTGCTTGCTTCTCTTTAAGAAGGGCCAACTACCAAACCTCCTTTCCCTTACTGTAGCTAAAGACAGGTTGACATTTTCAAAAGGAACTTGTCTAAATGCTCAGGTTAAAAAAAGGAAATAATTATGGAAATTACAAACAGCGCAGACACAGTTGGGTTTCTGATCCTTAAGAACACTGAAAAGTCAAGGATGGGTTTTTCAGAACAGCAGGACAGGGGCACCTGAGGTGTTTGGGAGGTGTACGAGGAGGACATTCAGGGATAGGATGGCCTCAGGGAGGCAAATCTTCCTTTGTAGCATCTTCTGGGGTTGGGGAGTCTGACCCATGATCCTCTTAGCAAGGACATGGAGGAGGAGTGGTAAATTGCTCCTTATAGGCCCAGGATATAAGAAGAGCAGTTGCTCCTTTTTCTTAAAAGTTGGTCCCAGTGTGTGTGTGTGTGTGTGAGTGTGTGTGTGTGTGTGTGAGTGTGTGTGTGTGTGTATGTATGTGCGTGTGCGCATGTGCATATGTATGTGAATGTGCACATGTACAAATGTGTTTAGGATGCTGGGTACATGCATGACTCCCTGGCATAGGGATAGGCACAATTTATTCTTATGTGCAGGGGAGGAGCTGGGCCCTCTGGACACTTGGGGGGAATTTCTGCATTTATAGAACCTGCGACTTCCCTGGAGTTGGACCTAGGGCCTTAAGCTGCTAAGGACACAGTCTACATTAAACATCTGCTCCTTGCACCATCAATCTCTCTGAGCTTTAATAAGGGTCTTCCAACAACGATGTCTCCCAGAGGAGTGGTGGGCTTGTCATGACTTGGTGAACTAAACACAGGACAGCACTGTGGACCAAAAGGCCCAGGCCCTGGAGCCAGCTCTCTCCCACTTAAGCCCCCACTGTCTCTGTCAAGCTAGTTTGGAACTGGCAGGTGAGATGCTTAGGAAAAGTTGGGGCTCCACTGAGGTCACAGCAACCCCATACCAGGATAGGGGTGACACAAGACTGTCTTACTTGTTCTGACTGGTTTGTCTCAGGTCAAATCAAGAGCACAACACTGGAAGCCAGGGGTCTGTTTGTGCCCACTATTAGTTTATATCCCTAGCAGGTATTCTCCAGGGCGCTGTCTCCCACCGATTGACCTCACAACACCTCATGTGTAGGAAGGGTAGAGTTTTATCCCTATCAGACTAGAATGAAAGCAGAGGAGCTTCAGCTTCTCCRGGGAAGGGATGTATTCTGCCATTTTTCTAGTCCAGAGACCCTCCTCTTCCGCCCTGGTTAGCCTTGCAGGCAAAGGCTATGTGGCTGGACTTGGCTAGTGAGCTCTGGTGGGTGGGGAAGGGGCCTAGCAGTTGCTGGTCCCAGCAGGGATGCTGGCTGTCCTCATTCCCTTTCAATTACCTCCAGGCAACTGCCCGCCCACCTGGGCTTTGAGAAGGCCTCAGGTCCTCACACCCGCTGACCCCCTCGCCGAAGGTCAGCGGCACGTTTCTTCTTCRAGCACGGGAGAGATGATTTAATCTCTTCACCCACCTCTTCCCATTTGGACAGGAGTGTTCAATCACTCTGCCTGGCTGTGAACCCCGGCCAGAGCAGGAAGTTTCACTTTTTTTGATCTCTGAGAAGGTGGGGGGAGGCATCTGAAGAGCCCTGAACTTGAAAGGTGAGGCTTGGGAGTTGAGGGAGAGTCCTGGGAGAAATGAGCCACAGAGCCCTTGGGCRGAAAATAGAGAGGTGGGGGGAAGAGAAAAGGGAAAACAGAAACAGAGTTCCAGACTCCCTGACACTGGCACCGAGTGAGAAAGCTCCTTGCTGTTCTGCACAGCTGCCTGCAAGCTGCCAAGTGGCGAAGGATCCAGGGAAAGGCATGGCACTGGGAAGTGCTATCCAGCTCTCTGTGTATTCTGCAATTAACAAAGGGTAAGTGAGTGGAAGGCACTGACAGCTCCCAGGCTCCGGATCCCCAGGGGCCATGGCTGCCAGGCCACCGAACAAATGCTGGCTTGGAGCAGACTCAGTCTGGGAGACCGTGCCTGCTCTAAGGGAAAGGCTTCCAGTCAATCAACCCCATGGCCTGCTCTTTTGCCCTGGGATGGAGAAAGGAGGGACCACCACTGAGGTGGGTGCAATGAAGCCCACCCTGGCAGGAAGTGGTAAGAAGGAGACTCACAGATCTGAGACCT